AGGTAAGTTACAATTTTATGTAATACAAAAAGGTGCATATTAAGACAGAATCAAGGGCAATGAACAAATATAGATTCCAAAATTTACCTACTAAGTTATCATTAGAAAAAAAAACAAATCCCAATAATGTACTCAAAAAATAAAGAAAGAATCAGATCAAAGCAGTTTCAACTCTTCCAGAATTATATAGGAAGTTGCAATACACGCAGTTGTAGAACACAGAAAATTATAAATGAAGATGACGTGAAGTATTGCAATAGCGAAACCAGTGGAAATACTTCTATTGAAAGTTTGAAACATAGGCTTTGCGGTACAGAGACAAACCTGAGTTGCGATACCAGCATGGTCAGTCCCAGGAAGCCAAAGTGTTGGTTTTCCCTTCATCCTATGGTATCTAACCATAATGTCCTACCAGAAAATAATGAAAAATGAATAGAAGAAATAAGAAGCAGTTGAATTAAAATTTAGGAATAATTGAACCCAGTTCAACCACATTCTTTCAGACAAAAGTTCAGTAATGTTCTTTTTGTTAGATTAGGTCCTCGGAACAATTTGACATAATCCAAGATTACATTATCACCCCAATCATCATTAACTACAGTGAAACGCGGGTTCGAAAGGGATTCCAATTGTAAAAATATCAATATTTAAGAGGTTTATACACCTACACCACAAGGCCCACAGGTACAAGTGACATTGTGTTAATACTTACGATTACTATTTTTATCAACTTTGCTTTCATCATCTGTATAAAATCTCATTGCACATCCAGTCCTTACTTCTTCCAATTCAATTCCAATCTTTCAACTTTGTATTCCTCCATTTAGATATTCCAAAACATGTCTCTCCCAACATCTTTTGCATTTATTAGTCGACTAAGATTTGTACAACCTCACCCAGAATGTGCAATTAGAAAACAAACACAATCCTGGGCCAGACATGACAATCATAATCAACACTTACATGTGCCAAGATGACTAGAAGCATGGCTAGGTAAAAACACTAATATCCACTTCAACAAAAATGTAAAATCCCAATACTTATAAACACCTTTCACAACCTCAAGAGTCACAAACATTGCATGCCCCATGTGTAGGGAGCCAGTAACATTTGGAGGCGGCATTGAGATCACAAAAGGATCACTTCCTTGGTCATGGTTTGGCCTAAAATATCCTTGAGACTCCCACCTAACAATCAGATGAATTGATGAATATGTTATATGCAATGATTATACATAATAAATAGATTAGTAAGCACCACCTGATAAAATCTGCAAACTGATATGTGAAAGTAGAGGCAAAACAAGAAATACGAAAACGCACACACAGGAACATAAATTCTTTTTAAGTTGAGATCAGAATGAGTTTTCGCAATAAATTAATAAAAATTACAGTCGCAGCATTAAATCCATGTACATACACCATAGGCCAATGCAGCATGATAGCGAAGCTTTATCACTGAGGTAAGTCAGAGATCTGATTATGTAATAGAGACAGCTTCTTGAAACTTAATCTTTAATTCTAATGTAGAGCAATGGTATAGATCAATTATTACTAAGGAAACATAACAAAAGTTAAGGTACCAAAAAAGTGATTCTCTCTTAACTAAGCCCCAAGAAACCCAAGTACTCTGGAGGCATATGGTTTGTGGACGTCCATAGGAATTAAACATTGAAGAATAAGTACCAACATGTTTACGCAGCTAGAGAGAATTGCACTCACTGATAACGCAGCAGGAGACACATGGATCCAAAAATGAACAAATACTTTGAACATTCATAGTATTTTTTGGCATAATACAAGGTATCCAATTTATTTTCTATACAAGGCCCCACAAGTATCAGGCAGGACCAGCCCTGCATAATGCACTTTGAAGCATCAACTAGAAACCTTGAAAACTACCGGGTAAAATTCCAGACAAGAGACCGTGTTTTTATGGAGATATGTATTTTTTTAAGCCTTGGTTTAAGGGCCCTTCAATATGGGAAGAATTGGGAAATGATGTCAGGTGCATTGCACTAGTATCAACTGGAGAATGATTGGTAACTGAATCACTTCGAGAAAGATGTCAAATGTGAACTCCAACCCAAACATATTCCCCAAAAAAAAAAGTGCTGTCATCCCAAATTGTGTAAGCTACCTTTCAATGACTGAATAGACATAACATTTTGTTCAACTCCATTTCAAAGAATGTGAAAACTCATCTCTGATCCCGACAAAAAATTCAGTTCCAAAATTTCCAATCATTTTGCACATGAATGGGGAATATACAAAATAAAAAGTACATCATTATGGTATTTTAGTTAATAATTCTTTTGGCCAAAGGGGATATTTCGAAATATCAATTTCTCGGGTGTGGGTTGGGATGGGGGGTCTATATACTTTTTCAAAATAAGTTCGTTAATATGAACAATGAGGCAATACAACATCACAGAAGCAGAGCAGTGCACTGAATATACTACAAAGCCTCTACATTCAGAACTAACAGCAGAATTATAGCATTATATCAGACAACATAAGCCCCAATAAATTCAACAACTGCCTTCAGATACCCAAGCTTCCCCAATTCACCTTAAGAAAAAAAGAAATCGACAGTGAATTGTAACAAAAGAAAATCGCGGAGGATGTGCATAACACCAAAGCACAAAGCACCCATACTAAAGCTATATCTGTCATGGTTACTCCAATTCTTGGTGATCATGCACAGAATGCAAACGAAAAGCATACAAAAACCAATATACCAATTGTATATCCGTTCTTCTGAAGAAAAATCAAAGGTCTTCGCAATCTCTGGAGATGTAAAGCCACGATTCTCGGAAGCAGCAACTGAAATAGAACAAGAAATGATAAATGCACCACCCCAATTCATCACAAATGTTTTCGCCAAGGTTTCGAACGATGGGAAGTAAAAAAAAATAACCGAACTTACGAAAAATCTTATAAAACGAACTTCAATGAACAAAACAGTAGGAATTAAAGTGTTTAAAATTCAATTTCTTGATCGATTAAATTCAATTCTCAGTACTTTCCAACTGATAACATCCGAATTTTCTCAGCAACCAAACAAAGAAAGAATGACAAGAGAAAGTGATAAGGTGATAACATTACCTGAGAAGTGCCTAGGCTTAAGAGGATTGAAATGCCAGTAGGAGAGGCTTGTGCGGCCACGACGTCGTCTGGAGAAGAGAAGAGGACGGAGCCGGTGAGCAGAGAACGACGAGCAGAGAGAGGGGCCGGGGAATGTCGTTTGGAGAATCATCGTTCTCGACAGAAACGCTCTTATATTCCAGTGAGGGAATGACGATAAGCATATAAACCCTGGTAGGACTTTAGCTTACGAAGACGAAGGAGGGTTTTAGTTTTAGTGGCAGAGAAACGGCAGACGCAGTGGATTACGAATGGATCTCATTTCGGATTTGGTCCATGTGATTTTTTTTCTTTAAAAAGACAACTAGTTACCATTCATGTTCAATTGTAAGGACACCTCTTCTGTTGGAATTTATAACTAATTTATTTTTTATATTATTTTAGTGTAAATATATTATTGGATAAAAAAGGCAAAGCTAATTTGATTTTGTTTTTTAGCTTTGGTTATCGTAATTGCTAGTTATGGATTGCCCTAGTCATTAAGGTTTTTCACTTTAATCTATTACGCCTCAGGTTCATACCTTCTTTTATCCTATTAGAGTGGTTTACAGTAGACAAATAGTTTGTATTTATATATAAAAAAAAAACCTTTGTTTATCAAGGTTGTGGGATAAAGATTTTCTATGCTCATGACACATGACACTCAAGGTAGTTGGAATAACAGGAAAGCCTTTAGAGTAAGCTCAGAGCTACATGGGTATTTCAGATCTGACTAACATAGCTCAGGTACACTAGCGCGATTTCATTAGCTGTTAGCCCATTGAAGATATTACTAGTCTCTCAAATGAGAAACACTCAATTCAAATCAAATTAGTATATATTGGAGATAAGGCAACGCATCAAATCCTAAGAGTAACTCCACCTCTAAAAAATGAGCTAGCCCAAAGTCCATTTAATCCACCCAAATGAATAGTAATTGATTGCAATAAATAGTAATTGGCCAAGTGCATCTTCATCCCTAAAACTAAATAGCCTAGTCCATTTTATTAAAATATTATTAATTATTAAAATTTACTTTTAATTTCTGACATTTTTTTATTTATAAAAAAATATTATTAATTTCTGACCTTTTTTTAAAGTTTTTGGCCAAAAAATTTGGACCGTTGATCTGAAAATCAAACGGTCCAAAGATCAACGGTCCAAATTGTGCCACGTCACTAGCCGTTGGGTTTGAATTTCAAAAAAAATTTACCGTTGGAAATCCAACGGCCGAGACTTAGCCACGTGGTCCATGTCTCGCACCCCTTTAGTGTGCCTGCAGTACGGGCCCGTCGTGTTGAGGACGCACGCGTGTTTCCCACACGCCTAATGCAAAAAAAATTTGTGTGGTCCGCTGACGTCATGCTGGTGTCAACATGATGCCAAATAAGCCAGTTTCTATCTTAGCCAATTTTGGGCCGATCTACAAACTGACTTGGACTTTGGGCTGGCCTATTTTTAGGGATGAAAAGGTTTTTTTGGGTGCCAACCTATTTCTTAGGCTTTGGGCCAGTCTTTTTAGAGAGGGCTGGAGTTGCTATAAGAAGATTAAGAGGAACATCACCCAACTCAAAAAAGAATATGGGCTTAACCCATTGAGAGTACCTACAACGTCATTGTATTTGGGGATTCTTTTTAGTACCCCGGTAAGTCTCTATACTAAACTCTAATTCCGGCCCATTGGAAGATGCTTAACCCTATATATAGGGTTTATACAATGGCAAGGACAATTAGAGGAACATCACTGAAGATGCTCTAGGAGATGAGCCAAAAACATCCAAAACATTAAAAAAGAAAATTGATTAGAGGCCAAATGATACAATAGAAGACAAAGCCACATCAAAAGGAATAACATGAATCCATACAAATTGACATAGTAAACAGCATATTTTTATTCCTTCGCCTCTCCGACTACAAGTTTATAACTCCAAATTAACAAGTTCATCATGCATTCACCCAAAAATTTGATACCAACAAGCAAGGAATTTATGGCTTCTTTTGCAACTATCCTAAGCTATGAAACTCCATCCCTTCTCAAAACCGCTGCTAATTTTGGTCGTCTCAACGAAATTCTGAATGGCAGCACTAGAACCTCATCAACTGCTCTCATTCGCATGAAGATAAAGGCCACAGCTACACGAGTTACTGACTCAGCGTCTGCATTCCAACCATTGCTCGTCGATGGAGAACCAATCGCCAAACCACTCGAAACCACCCAGTTTCCGGTGTTCAAATTCGATGAGTACATGTCAACGAAGGCAAAGATGGTGGACAAGGCGTTGAACGAGGCCGTGCCTTTGCAGTACCCCAAGAAAATCCATAGGGCAATGAGGTACTCGCTTTTGGCTGGCGGAAAGCGCGTGCGGCCGGTTTTGTGTCTCGCTTCATGTGAATTAGTTGGAGGGGATGAGTCACTTGCAATCCCAGTAGCTTGTGCCGTTGAAATGATCCACACCATGTCGCTTATTCACGATGATCTCCCTTGCATGGACAACGACGATCTTCGTCGCGGGAAGCCTACCAACCACAAGGCTTTTGGGGAGGAAACCGCGGTTCTAGCCGGTGATGCGCTTCTTTCCCTTGCCTTTGAACATGTAGCGGCCAAGACAACAAAAGTAGTATCGCCGGAGCGTGTGGTTCGAGCCATCACCGAGCTTGGTTCGGCCGTCGGATCATTAGGCCTCGTGGCGGGTCAAATGGTGGACATTCAAAGCGAAGGCAAAGAAGTGACGCTGCGAGAACTCGAGTACATTCACGTGCATAAGACCGCGAAGCTCCTCGAGGCATCGGTGGTTTGCGGGGCAATCATCGGAGGAGCAGGTGAAGGGGAGGTGGAGAGGATGAGGAAGTATGCAAGGTGTATAGGTTTGTTGTTTCAAGTGGTGGACGACATTTTGGACGTGACGAAATCGTCAGAGGAATTGGGGAAGACGGCCGGGAAAGATTTGGCAAGCGATAAGGCGACATATCCAAAGCTGATGGGTATTGAAGGGGCAAAGAATTTTGCTGCCGAGTTGGTGGCGCAAGCAGTGCAAGAGCTTGCTCATTTCGATGCTGCTAGGGCGGCTCCATTGTATTATTTAGCCAATTTTATTGCCAATAGACAGACATAGAGGAACAATTCTTATTGTCCTTTGATTTTTTATTTAATAAATGAACACTGTTTTTCGATACTTGTTAATTATTCTTTTGAATTTCAAGGGTAGAATTGAAATCCTCTCCGAATCTTTGTATCCATAATCGATAGACTCAGAGGTCCACACCACTCATTCATTCATTTTGATTCATACAATCTTCATTAGTCAATTTCACTTATCCATCTCACACAAACCAAGAGTCCGGTTATCTCTCTCTCCGTTCAATGGCCCAAACTTTAAATCCTTAGACTCCAGACACAGTGATTCAGAAAGGATCTCAACTCTCAAGGGTTAACTTTCAAATATAAATTAGTAATTTTGAGAGCTCTCGTGACTTAATATTGTTCTAGAATAGCTTTGCAGTGTTTGAGTAGTTCATCGGTAGTTCTCTTGGAATATAGTGTTCAAGAGAAAACCGACTCGAGGACACAAGGCTTGCCATACAAAGGCGAGCAGCCCTTATAGCAATAGCAAACGGCCTACATATAGCCCTCTTTTTTTCCCGGAAAATACAGTTTTTTCGGGTGTTTCAGAGCGCGGTGAACGCGGATCCTGATAATAAATATTTAAAATCGAACAAACTCTATATGAACTTAGTGTGACGGCTATAAATATGATTAGCTAATTATGATGTCTAGTTGACAGAATTAAATAACCTTTCTCTCGAATAACACTTGCCCCAAAATTGACCAAAGTACAGTTTGCTCATTCAACTCGTTCGAATGAAAGCTAAATTAACCTTTTAGCCAAGGAACATTAACCATCTGCCTCCTGAGTCTTTTTGCCTTTCCGTGACCTACTCCGTTTCTTACGACTCCTCAAAGTAGCATCTCCATCCTTCCTTTCCTGCACGAAACTTCAGAATCTCAAAAGATACACAAAGGCATGCATTTTTTAAAGGATAGTAAGACATCGAATTATTGCTGTCAACTATTGTGACTAGCCAGTAGTACAGTGGAGGGGGGCGGGGGGGTGGTATAAACAATATTTGCAAGCTCACCTGTGCAGAATGAAGATCTGGCTTTTTCGTCTTTTTCTTTTTACACGAAAGGGGGTTTGGACCCTGTAAGGTGGAAGAAAAGGAGTCAATACATAAACATTGAAACACTCATCTTAAGGTACCATTTCTAACAGTATTAGCATGCCACCATGACGTAATAATTTGTATTAGTCCAATTATTTCTACTTAATTTTACCAAAAAATTGGAAAAAGAGAAACAATGATTTAATCTATCCATACTCCCAGAAACATCCAGCTCAAACAAGATTTTGATTTCAAAAATGTCCACCACAAAATAGCCATCAAATAAATCTGAATGCAGAACAAGATACGAATTACTAATCACTGACTAAGGAAACTACAGGATGTACGATTAACTAGTTCTCCTTATTTTATCTTAGTTCTTTGAGACTTCTTGCCTTTTTAAGGATTCATTCGGGTCTAGTCCCCTGTCCCCCATGCAATAAATGTATAAACATTGTTTCTTTGTTTGAGTATCAGGTGCACGAACAAGATTTCATTGAATTTTTATGTAGATCCGGGGAAGCATCTTCCTGGTGAAAATATACATTATTTCCATAATATGATATCTTGATATGAGTATCTTGGTAAGAAAAAAGAGGGGGGAACAGAGTTGGGAAACATACTGTGTAATAAAATAAGGTGTAATTCAAATCAATCATATTAATGTTAATCCATGATGCAGCATTGCAGCTATACTAAGGCCTATCCGTATATAGTGTATAGTATAAATATTTAATACTAACAAGAGTTTTCATAATCCAAATAAACACAACAGATGTCCTCCTTCCAACATGTTACTTCATATTACGTGGAGTCCATATCGAAAAAGTTGATGGGGTATAATGCCTCACATAAAACTAAATATAAGCAGACATGTTGAGGAAAAGAAAAATACATGAACATGAAAGAAATGAGTTTGGTAGTACCTTTGCCCTCTTTCTCTTAAATTGAACTTTATCCTTCACGCCCAATCCTATCCTAGCACTATCCCTTTTTGCTACAGCCTGCGCTTCCATGTTCTGATCTCCAGAACCATCTTCTTCACCAGGAGGATCGTTTATTTTAAGAGAATTCGGAATATTCTTTTTCTTCTTCAACAGCTTATATTCCAAGTCAGTCATATGCAAGCGTTGTTCTTCAGAAGCTTTGACAAATTGGTGTTGGGCATCAGAAGGGGACTCAAGCAAAAGAGCAGTCCTCAGAGCATAAATAGCAGGGACACCTGGTATCTGCAAGTGAAAAGATGTCTCCGTCAGTGCATGCTCAAGGATATACATCAAAAGAATTTGTATAACAGATTCGAAGAGGCCAACAAGATAATAATAAGAAATAAAGTGAGATAATGACCTTGAGAAGTTTCCGACGAAGATCAACGTGCTGAGTAGCAACAAAGAAGTGCTCGGAATTACTTTGCCCAACAACATCCAATATACAATCTTCAGCACTCACGTGACTCTCGTGATCACACCTTGCAGTAATAAGGCTATTAGCAGCTTCAAGAGACTGTGAATACGAAGGACCAAGCATTGGACCATGTTGTTTCAACTCGGCAATGGCGCAATTGGTGGTGAAGAGCAGGACAGGGGCACCGAGGACATTAGAGATGGCCTTGTCAGCGGGGGTAATGCGATTGGTGACAAGGTGATGCACGAAAGTAACATCGCACAGCACCTTGTAGGGCTGTCTGAAGCCGTAGCATGCTGTGTAGAACCTCACACTCTTCCGGTGACGCTTCTGCCTTTTCACTCTCATAATTCTACCCTAATGCTGCCCAGATTACCAATAATAATCCTTTCAGTCTTAAAGCAAATATGCATATGCAATTACACTTCAAAATTAAAACTTTTACAGTTCCATAAATCACATTTCATAACAACTGAAGTACAAGTACCCTAAACCCTAAACCCTAAATATGATACACATATATGTATATGTATTTTTTTTTTAAATTACAGTTTCATTCGTCAAATTTCTTCCCAACTGAAGTTCAGGTACCCTAAACCCTAAACCCTTATTATATATATATATATGTGTGTGTGTGTGTGCGCGCGCGCGCGCGCGTGTGTATTTAAAAGATAAAATATTTACAGTTCCAGAAATCAAACAGCGACCTCAGAATTCAAAGCCAATCCAGCGGGTAGCCGGAAAATTTGAAGAAAAACGAAATTAAAAAAATAAAAAATAAAAAACTGAAGAAATTTGAAAAAAGAGGAGAAAACCTGAAGAAAATAACCAGTGGGGAACGAGGAAATCTCTTTCGAATTGGTCGGCTTCCGACGAAATCTTGTCCGGCTTCCGACGAAATCTTGTCCAAAGGGGGGGTTGCCGCCGAATGGTGGTAGGAATCTTGGGCTGCCGCTGAAATCAGAGAGCAGAGGAAAGAAATAGGGTAAAATTGCCTTTTTCTTTTCCTTTTAATTTTGGGTTTCAAAGACCTATGCTCAACGACGCCGTTTTATGATGGGTTCACTTTTTTTTTTTGAACAAATGGTGTTATTTAGGGGTAAATACGTGTGGATTTTTTAGTATTGTACTGAACCGAAATTCTATGGTATGGTATTGGTATTGGTATTTGAAACTATTATTTTAAGGGAGTTTTGTTTTTATTTAAAATTAAACACAAATAGTACCTGACAAAAATTGACCGCATGATATACGATGAACGGACACGATGTAAGGATCCTCACAAAGAGGATCCTCATTGAAACTTTAACTTCTATTGATTGTAAACTTTTATTTTATTTGGTTTGTAATTTCTATTTGGATTGTAACCTTAATATCCATATGAATCTTGAATCTTGATGCATCATTTGATTTTATTATGTGTGTGGATGTGAATGATGAATTTAGGCTACATATATGAGATAAGGGTAGAAAAAAAGTCTTGTCCTTGAATTGGGTAGAAATGAAAGAAAAAAAAGATTTTGGCCAAAAAATGGGACTCAAAACAAAGTGGCAATTACCATTATCATATCATGCCAACTAAACTATTTGGCATACCGAAATCCAGTAGGCCAAAATTTTGGTATAGTAATGATAATAGATTTTGTTAAATAGAAAGTTTAGTATGATAATTGATATCAGGGTTTTGGTACAGTAACCATACCAAACCCACTCCTATGGGTGAGGGAGTAGGCTAAACTTCACACTTGGTTAAACATAATAATATGGTTCAAATTTGCCTTTGGCGAGAATCGAACCTAAGAGCTCTTATTTATAAGTGGAACATGAATACCACTAGACTGTTATACTAAGTGGCGTATGATAGGTTCACTTTAAAGAAAAAAACCTTATGCAGCCTTATTTCTAGAGCAGCTCCATGTAGAGGTGAATGAGCTGATCATAGAAATCATGGTTTATAAATTGACATGCACCAATTTTCTTATTTAGATTCATAAACATGGAAATTTAGAATGTCAGCGTATAAAAAATAACTTAGAATTTGAGACCTCCAATTCCCAAGTTTAAATTCTATGTAAGCAAGTGCTATTTCCAAATTTCTATAAATGAAAGTTTAAAAATAGAACTTCCGTATTCAAATTGTATTGTTCTTTTAGGTTTAACCAAACAAGTCACAAATAGTTAGACAGTTCTTAATGCTTGTATTGAATTCGTATATATATTTTTATATAGTTCGATAATTAAACGATCTCATACTTCATTTATTTTTTTGTAGAGATCATCTTTATAATAGTTTCGATCTAAACATGAAGTTTCGTAAATCAGATAAGGAGTGAATTAATGAGAACTCCTCCTCATCAATTGAAGAAATTTTTCAATATGCTGAGAACACGGCTAGTTCACTAATTGTCATAATACAAGTAGATAGAATTTTATTTTTTTTAAATATCCAACCACTTGTATTATGACATTTGATATACCAAGCTGTGTTTTCGTCACATTGAAAAATCTAAGCTAATTCCATATTAATTGTCATGATAAGGGCAAATATTAATTGTGAATGATAAATAGTAACTGTCATAGTCTTCCTAGCCCTTGTCGAGGCAAAAGGGGTGGAATTACTTTAAGCACTTGGGCGTGTTTCTAACACACTTTTACAAGTTAAAAGTGGATTTGGATCCTCATCGGATCCCCTCCTTGGGGATCCTAGGGATAAACGAACACAGATCGTTGATAAAAAATCATGCGATCACAATTTTTTTCTTTTTTATATTTTTCACGCAAAACGATGCTATTTTACTTTTAAAAATATACAAAACATTTAATTGGGACCGTACGATTTTTTATCAATGGTCCCTGTTCGTTGATTCCTTGGATCTCCAGGGACGAGACAGGCGAGGATCCAAATCCGTTAAAAGTGTTTAAAATTTTCTTCCAAGCTTAATTGAAACACTTTTATTTATCAAAAATCAAACCCAGCCATTCCACAAACAACTCTAAAATATGATGTTGCAGTATAAAGCACACTGCCTTTTCAAAAAGCACTTTTACATATGTTAGAGGACAAAAACCCTACGGTCAAAACATCTGGGATACCAGATACTGCGGAACATATAAAAAAAAAAAGAATCCCCCTTTTCAAAAAGCACTTTTTCATATGTTAGAGGACAAGTCAATGTCCCTTTTCAACTATCATTAACCTTATTTGCTTTCTCAACTTGGTGCCAAAACCCGTTTCCACATCAAGTACTGCTATATGCATCCATTCAAAGTTGCAAGCACACATGCAAAATTATTCTTAACCTTATTTGCTTTCTCAATGTATTGTCGTGTCGTGCCAAAAATTGTCACTTCAAAATGCTTGCTCATTTCGATGCTGCTAGGCCGGCTCCATTGTACTGTTTATTGTTCAGGTGCAGCCAAAACCCAACCAAGCTGGGTTCCTTTGCCATGCTGCACAATTGACATGATCAATGCATGAAAAGTTCACTGTCGGGTTGATACATTCCGTCTTGGTTGATACATTTAAGCGCATTTTATGTAACTACAGCAACTTTCACCTTCTGTACTCGAAGCTATGCAACATCAATAGCTTTGCTATAACCTCGATGTACTACTTTGGCTGAGCTTTTGTAACAAAAGATAAAAAATAAAAGAACGATGTCAAATTTCAACATATTCCAATATCTGCATTAACATTTCAATCCACTTAGTAATTCTACAGACACACTTAAGTGAGGAGTTCCTAAATTATAATACACGCAACACTCCAAATTCTACACCCGCTCACGACCTTTTTTTTTGTTTTTGTTTTTTCTTTTACCCACCTGAATCTATGAACTCACTGTACTGATACTCTTCTCTTACAATGTGACCTCCAATACAGAGGTTAGTAATAGAGAAACCATTGACTTTATTAAGGTACAGTACAGGTAAAGTTTAGATATATACCTAGAGATAACAGCAACAAGACATTTTAACCCAAGACTTTTGGACGCCAACCCGCAATGACATCTTCTTTCAGGGCACTAGTTTTAACGAATGAATCCAGTGAGAATATACTCTGCATGTCAGAAATTCAGCAGTGTTAGAAACATACTTCGCTAAGTACAAAATGAGTTCTAGTCCTCACACAAGCACGAGTAAAAAGCAAGAACTACAAGGGCTAAACTCAAAAGGATTACAATTTTTTTGACAATATGGTCATAGAACTTCCATTAACATGGTATCCTTGACATTCTTGCAAGTCCAATTTCAAAATTTATGATGCAAGTCCAGAAAAAAGTGCATCTAGATGTAATTAGCTAATCATATTAGCAAGTTCCAGGAGTTGTGATGTCAATTTCATAATCAAGATAAACCTCTTGTTACTTAGTAGTGTAAACTTGTTAGCGACACACATTTCAATTTCACATACCTTCATATAAGACTTCACATATGGAAGAGAATCGGGAATTGACCAATCTTTGAAATGCCCCAGAGCAATCTCTAGATGATACAACTTGGGTCCAAGTGAAAAATCAGCAGCAGAAACCACTTTCCCATTGATAAAAGGACCCTTTAATACATAGAGGACAAATGTCAAACATATATCCATTCAATTTGGTTTTTTTAAGCATGGCTGTACAAGAAGATATTTAACTTCACAAAAAGCACACATCAAGGGCTATTGCACCGAAAGATAGCATCCTAAATCTGTTTTTATTTTCTGATAAATAAGAATATAACCACTGATGGTTTAATCCAACATGGATTTAGTAGGATAAAACATGGTATGACTAGAAAGCACGATGATCATTAATGTTCTTCAAAAAGACATAGCATTGCGATTTTGGTTGTCTACAGGGGTGACATTCATCACTGGGAGTGACTACCTGACTCTGACTCATCTTCTCAGCATGAACATTTTAACTATAGAATTGTGAAAGATTCCGTTTTGCTGTCGGGTATTAAAATTGTAAGATAAGAGAAAGGTATTCACATATCTTAGAGGAATTATGTTGTTAAAATTCTAAGAGAAAGCCTATATGGGCTCTTAACCTGTCGATAAATTATCTCCCATGAAATTAATGTTGTGAATCAATTTTTTTACCACTGCACACACACACACACAGAGGCTGTTTACAGTCCATTAGCCAAAATTAGGACTGATTACTAGAGGTTCTATCCCGGGTAAATTACTACGAGTATTTTTGTTGGGTGTAGACTTTAAACATAGGCTGTTTACAGTCCATTACCCAAAATTAGGACTAATTACTAGAGGTTCTATCCCGGGTAAATTACTACGAGTATTTTTGTTGGGTGTAGACTTTAATTTTTGTGTTGTATATAAAAACACGCTCCCGCTATTCATTTGATTATTTCATATGCAAACAAATTAGCTTTCATGAACAAGCAAAACAAAATTAGCAAGCTGATATAAATTCAAGGCATCATTTATTCACAAAATGTGAACGAAAACTTCATTAATATGAAGGTACAGCAAAAACTGGAAGGAATGTAGAAGGCCTCACGTTTTCTTTGAGATAATCGTCGAAAGACTTAAGTTCATTTAGCAACGCTTCTTCTGTTCCATCCTTGGCATCTTTGCTCTTAAGGAAACCGATAAATGTAGAGAAGATCTTCGATCCACTGCAAAGATCAAAATTTCAAATATGAACCTAAACAATTATAATATTTTGACAAGACAGCAAAGTCAAAAATAGAACTGTGGAATAAATAAGTAAAGGTTCTGACTAGCGAACATTCTGGAGGTGAACTTTACATGATATATTTTTCAAAAGAGCCACACAATATCAGGAAAACAAATTTGGTTTAGTTTAAGAAGTTTAAAGTTTATAATCATGATGGCAATACAACTCAGCATAAGTAAAATGAAAATCTCGACAAGACTAACATTGACGCTCCAATATTTTGGCCATCAAGCCATTACATATGTCCTAGTGAAAAGTAATGAAAGAGTAATGCATAGTACAGGACATATAACATACACTGAAGCCTTCTCAGGGGGCGTTGCCAGAGGTGGATCAGGGTATTTTTCTTCCAGTGCTTGTGTAATAATATCTGAATCCGCAACCCACTTCTCATCAAGTTTTACCACAGGAACTTTACCTTCTGGGTAAACTTTTAAGAACCTAAACATAGAAACAAATTGATAAAACAAAGTCTTTGAACTAAAAAGATAAAACCAAATAGCAGCAGATATTTGCACTAGCATACACAAGTGACAATTTTTCAACCATAGAAAAAGAAACAACACCAAAGAAATAAAATTCAATCCCAGATAAATTCAAGGCAATCACCATTCTGGCTTGTTGCCCAAGTCTACCAACTTCAGGTCATAAGGGAGATGCTTTTCCTCTAGTGTCAGCAACACCCTTTGACAGAAGGGACCTAGGAAAGACAAGTTATCAAACAAACACTTAATAATGTGCTCCCCTGATTCAAATGGTACCGCTACGAACACTAACACATTAAACAATATCCCACTTCAATATTTATACACCATTATGTAACAACGAAACTATAAGAGAACTTAAATTCGACATAGTTATCGGACATTTCCAACAATGCCGGTTGAAATTTACTCTATGTATGTAAAAATGTAAAACTCCAATGTAAAGATATCATCTTTTCATGTTATGTCTATAATTTCGATAGCTATTGAAAATCCCAAACCTTTCCGTTCGATTTTCCCTCCTCCAAAATATGTATAAGAAGAACTACTTTTCTACAAAATGTACACAAAACTATCAATTTCTATGAATTTGGCGCAATGGATGATCCGAACATAGCAATGCTACAAATCTGCCACATGGGTTGGTGACCCAATTGAAAATTGGGTATTCTCCTGCAATTTCTAGGACACCAAACAGACTTACAGTCGCCGAGCTTGTTGGGAACAGTAACGGAAGCCTTGGCACAAACGTCGAGAGGGGCGGCCATTGCCACCGTGAGGGTTCTTGTGGTGCCGCGGCGCCGCAGGGAGTTGGGATTGGTTCTGAATACGACAGCGTTGGGAGGCGGCCGAAGGTGGTGTTTGATGGTGGTGGAGAGCACAGCGGAGGCCGTCGGATGGATTCTGGCGGTGGTCGACATTGCAATATCTAAAGCTTATCGAGGAGATTAGGAGCGGCGAAGAGTGATGCTGGAGCTTGCTATATTCGTTACAGCTGATTTTGTGTACCAGGAGATTCCAGATTGTAACTGTACGCGTGGCACACACTTCTCACATTTATTTATTTAGTATTTTTTTCTATGATAATTAGTACTCCGGTCTAGTTACTTGTTAGTGAGGTTTTATCTTCGATTCTCATCAAAGATAAATTTGAACTACATTATTAGGCTCAGCAATATAAGAAGTTGAAAAACAAAAAACCTATATAAAATGTTACCTAATTCAAACTCAACATTCACAATTTGGATTTGGGTTGGGTTTGGGTTTGAATGGGATCTGGACTTACTTAGTTCGGTTCGGATTTGGCCAACTTTATTGATTTGTAAATTGTAACACCTTTTTTTTTTTTGCAATATTTTTCAAATTTTGAATCAAACAATGTTTATACTAGTTAAAATTCAATTCTACACATTATCCACATATAAGTTAATTTCATGTACAGCCATTATCTTTCATTGCTGAAATAAAAACCAACAAAAACTTCAATTACAGTCACCCCAACATTTGTATGTAGCTCATAAAATATGAAGCACGAAGGGTAATATGTGTATGAGAGAATTCGAACTAGAAATTAGATTGAGTTTGGGTTGACATGTGCAAGAAAGACATCAATTCAACACAATCCAACCGAACCCAATAAATGATTGAATTAAGGTCAGTTGGATTTGATCAGATTTTTACTTCATTCTAACTCATCCAATTATGATAATCAAATTGAGCTTGAAGAGATTCGAGTTAACCTAATCCAAGCGCACCCTATTAGCAACTAAGAAGAAGAGCGGGCTCTCATGCATGGGTGTCCAAGAAATCATAGACCTAAATTAAGTGTGACAACACTTGGGCTTGAAGGAAGATTCATTCAGATACAATGCTAACCACTTGCCGTTTTGAAGTACTATTCTCTATATGTGGCCCATAAAATACATAAATTAATTAAAGCTTCGTTCCAGAATGATGATGCTCTCTAGATCTTTTTTGTGAAGATCCTGAGAATTCTCAAATCATATCCATTTAATGTATATCGTGTGGTAAAAAATTATTTTAAATTATTTTGTTTAAAATTAAATATAATTAGTATTTACCGAAAACTGGCTGCACGATTTACGATGAACGAACACTATTTGAGGATCTCCAAAATCCTCACAAAGAGGATCCGGAGAGGATCCTCATTCTTTGTTCCCTTCCAACCAAACTGTAGTTCATAATTCATTTGTAGTTTAATGGAATTACTTTGATCTAGGTATAAAATGCAAGTGGCATTTGATTATAGCGGTGAAAAGGTGTTGAGTCCTTACATAATGACGTAAGTTCAAATCCCGTTGGTGACTAATCTAATATCTAATCTAACAAAACCTATCGTTTGAAAAAAAAATTAAAAAAAAAAAAAGAAGATCTAGGTAAAAAATTTGTGTTGTGATTGAATTTAGTTCAATTTTGTTATCTTTTTACTTTAATTAAATTTGTCTTGCCTGTTTAAATTTCTTGATTTATTAATCTTTACTCAATCTTTTAATTTGAATATTTTAATATGAAGATCCAACCACATATATGGAAAATAGTTGAAATTTTTTTATATGCCAGCCATATATGATACATCATAGGTTGATAAGTACATTTAACCCGTGATGGAGATAGAATATACGAAAAATAAATAAAACTTAAAATCTACCTATCATCCATGAAAATAGTTTAAGAAATTTCATCTTCATACATTTATATTCATACTAGTATATATGCTCGTATGTATAAAACCTAGATCAAATATTTTTTTAACACAATTAACATGTGATGGAGGTAGAAGAAAAATTGAGATAATAATTATAAAAACTAAGTGATTGTTGTGGTGTATTTTATCTGACAATGTTAAAGAGGGCCGGTGGCAAGGAGAAAAGAGTGAGAGAGATGTGTTTGTAGAATTGTAGGGGAATGTGTGTTATTATCCCTCCTACATTGTGCCTTTATTTATAGTAGTAAAAGGAGAGAAGATATTCCTTCTTCCCAAAGGAATACAAGATACAATAGGAAGAGATAACTAGAATAAAATCTACTCTAGGATTTACACAATCACACTTAAACTAGGAATGTTTACAACACTCCCCCCTGAGTGTGTAAATACTCAATATAGATTTAGCATCATGCAGAAGTTGAGGAAGTCGACTCGTCAACATTGATTCTAAGGAACAACGCTTATTCTCAATAAGGTAGGAACTTACATAAGTAGCATGTCTCACTAAAAAAATCCTAAGGGTATGGCAAAAACCCAAGGAGGGACAAAATTCATAGTATAAGGAAAAATGTGTGAGAAATGCAAAGTCAAAAGAAACGTCTACGGGACGTCATCAGGGATATGACCAGCCCAAGGTGGGTGCCTCATTAAAACCTAGTTAGGTAGCAAAAACCCAGTGGGAAAAATGCTTCTAATCGTAGGGAAAAAGAGTACATTAAGATCAAGCAAGTATCTACAGGACACTCTCCCTGAGTTTGACACAATTTCAAAGAGAAATAGTAAAGTTACAACTAAGAAAGTTTACGCATACCAATTCCATAAACAAGCTTTTGAAAAATCGTCTTTGGCAGTGATTTGGTGAAGAGGTCAGCTAGATTGTCTTGTGAATGGATTTGTGTGACTTCAGTCTTTTAATGCTCTTGTTGTTGATGTGAAAAGAAAAACTTCGACATGGTGTTGTCTCCTTTGATATAACCTTTTTTGAGTTGTTTGATGCATGCTACGTTGTCTTCAAAGATCGTTGTCGGGACATCAACGACTGGATAAAGATTGTAGGAGCTTCGAATATGGCCCATTACTGCTCTCAACCAAAAGCATTCCCGAGTTGCTTTATGTAAGACAAGAATTCCAACATGGTTAGACAAAGTGGCAACTAAGGTCTGTTTAGTTGACTTCTAAGAGATTGCGGTGCCTCTAATGGTAAAGACATAACCCATTTGAGAATGTGCCTAGTGCGGATCAGATAAGTATCCTGCGTCGGCATAACCAACAAGGCGTGAATTGACTCGAGAGGCAGAAGGTGCAGCATCACTCGAGGATCCGTAAAGATAAAACAAGCCCAAATCCGTTGTACCCTTAAGGTAATGTAAGATGTTTTTCATGCCGGTCCAGTGTTTGCGTGTAGGTGTATTACTGTATCTTTCCAAAAGATTAACAGCAAAGAAGATGTCGGGTATAGTGCATTGAACTAAGTACAATAAAGCTCTCATCGCACTTAGATAAGGAACTTCAGGCTCCAAAATCTCTTCATCATCCTCCTTCGGACCAAAGGAATTTCGTTTTGCATCTAGCGATTGAACGACTATAGGAGTACTCGAATGTTTCGCTTTATCCTCATTAAAACGACGCAACACCTTCCAAGTGTAGTTCTATTGATGTACTAGGAATCCATCGGAACAATGCTCTATGTTGAGACCAAGACAGTATTGAGTCTTACCTAGATCTTTTATCTCAAATTCCGACTTCAGGTGTGTAGCAGTTCTCGTAAGCTCTTCAGGAGTTCCAATGAGGTTCATATTAAAAACATATACTACAACAATCGCAAATCCATAATGTGACTTCTTAGTGAACACACAAGGGTATAATTCGTTGTTCATATATCCCTGACTAGTCAAATACTCACTTAGACGGTTATACCACATTCTTCTGGATTGTTTCAAACCGTATTGTGAACGCCTTAGCCAAATGAGGTCGTGTTCTGGGGTTTGGAAATATTTGAATCTGTCAATGTAAGTCATTCGGGAACTTTCATATAGATTATGTATCAAGGTCCCCATAGAGATATGCGGTTACTACATGTATCAGCTGCATATCCAATTTTTCAGAAAATACCAAACTGATAAGGTAGCAAAAAGTAATCACATCCATAACGGGTGAATAAGTTTCGTTATAGTCAATCTTGAGGCATTGTGAGAAGCCTTGTGCAACAAGACGAGCTTTGTAACGCACAATTTCGTTCTTCTCATTACGTTTCCCAACAAAAACCCACTTGTAGCCAATGGGCTTCACATGTGAAGGGGTAGGATTTACAGGTCCAAACACCTTACGTTACGCAAGCGAATTGAGTTCGACTTGGATTACGTGTTTCCAGTTTGACCAATCAGTTATACGTTGACATTCATCAATAGAACCGGGTTCAATGTCATCGCTCAACATGATCTCAGTAGCTACTACATATGCTAATGCATCGTCGACAATCATCTCATTTCTATGCCACACATCATCTAAGCTAGTATAATAGACCGAAATCTCTCGATTCTCGGGAGGAGGATTCGTTTCTTCAAGGACGCTTCCATAATCTAGAATTTCCTCATGAGTTGGGTAGAATGAGTAAGCAATAGTTGGATTCACGGTAGGTTCTTCGGGACCTTGTGCCGTGGGTTTCCTCTTCTAGGGGTGTGAATCCTTTGAACCAAGAGGATTGCCACGTTTTTGTGTAGGGGCAGATGAATAGCTAGCTGCTAATGTACGTGGATCACTAAGATTGGCGTCCTGGGCTTCTAGGAGGGTAGTCCGTCATACATTTGGTACATCTATCTTTGCAGGTGTATTCACAGCTGGAATGTGTGATCTTGTCATGCACTTTAGATCGGTGAAAGCATATGGCATGCTCTGAGCTATGGTCTAAAGATCTAATATGTGATGCACTTTAGTTTCAGATTGAGAGGTGCAGGGATCCAAATGAGCCAAAGTGGGAGTCGTCCATGATAATTTACGTATTTCTTCAGGAACGTTGACATTCTTATCTCCCCCTAATGACGAGAAGACTGTATCATAGAAGTGACAATCCGTGAAATGAGCGGTAAACAGATCGTTTGTCAAAGGTTCTAAGTAACGAATAATCAAAGGAGAATCATATACAACATAGATTCCCATCATTCGCTGAGGCCCTATTTTTGTACGTAAGGGCGACGAGATCGACACATATATCGCATAACCAAATACGCGCAGATGCGATATGTCGGGTTCCTATTTCATAACCAACTGAAGGGCACTAAATAGTTGTGTCGCAACAGGCCTCAGGCGGATCGACTT